TTATTGTTAGGTATCATTGAAACAACTTCAGTTGACAGCAATCCTACGAACGGACTTGAACTGTGCCAATTCCTGTGCTGACCTTACCATCTCTTTTATGCTGAAACCCATTGTTACAGTCAGTGTCAATTCTTCTTGCTGTGGATCTTCCACTTTTTCCGACCCTCCTTATTTCCCAAGATGCCAATTGTGATAGTCACAGAAGGAATTAACAAGGTAAACAACTGAGTTTGGACTGTAAGCATACAAAATGATGATGAAATGCATTTCAGTTCTTTAATAACCCTACCAATAGTAATTTTTTATGGCAGCACCGAAAAATTAAACCAGCTAGTTCAATCTATATGTGGAACAGATTATCCAGGAGGCTGGACTCTATGAGAAGTGTGGCATCAGGATGGAGGTAGACTCATCAACAATCTGCGTTATGCAGATGACACAACCCAGCTTTCAATATAGATTGAAAATTAACATCAAGAAAACAAAGATTCTCACCACTGGACCAACTGGCAGCATCATGATGAATTGTGAAGACTGAGATTGTCAACAGCTTCAGTTTGCTTGGCTCTACAATCAACACTTTTGGTACCAGTAGCCAGGAAGTTAAAAGACGAATTGCACTGGGAAAGTGTGCTGTCAGAGAACTCTGGGAGACTAAAGTGGTCCTGATACAGATCATGTTCTTTGCAATTACTTGCTACGCATCAGAAAGCTGGACAATGACTGGGGATGATAGAAGGAGAGTTGATGCCTTTGATCTACAGTGTTGGAGAAAAGTATTATACCATAGACTTGTAGAAGAACAAACAAGTTCGTTCTGGAGAAGGTGAAGCCAGGCAAGGATTCTGAAGCTTTGTCTGGCATACTCTGGACATGGTGCAAGGCAGAATCAGTCTTGGAGAGGGGCGTCATGCCTGGCAGGGTGGAGGGACAGTGAAAGAGAGGAAGACCCTTGATGAGATGGATTGATTCAGTGACCAGGGTAGTGGAGATAGGTGTGTCAGAGCCAGTGAGATTGGCACAGGATAGAGCAGCATTTGGGGTTGTTGTACATAGGGTCACTGTGAGTCGTAGGCAATGCGAAGGCACGTAAAAACAGTTGTCATACATAAATATTATACATATTTTATCATTCCTTATCACTATTGATAGGTATTCTAGTCTACAGCATATTGCATTAATGAAAAGGTAGAGTATCTCCAGAGGTTCAAAAATATCAGTGGTTTTGTGGTGGGAAGGATCCTATTAGGGTTTATAGGCTAGAAACCAAACAGCAATGAGTTATAATTGATTCATCAACAATGAGTGAATGAATGATTACCAATATTTGTGCCCAGGTAGCATGGTAGTTACATGTGAGACTGTTGGTGGTTCAAATCCACTCCACAGGGAAATGAGACACTTTCCTCCTATTAAAATTTACAGCCTTGGAAACTCTTAAAAAGATTGCAGTCAACGAGAACTGACTGTAGGAGAGTGGATTTCTGGGTTATTGCCACATATGGGGTGACACAATACTAAGTTCTTGACTGCTTGCTAATCAAAATGGTGCAGTGCAAAACCACAAGCTGTTCTGTCAGAGAAAGGATCAACCAGTGGGTTTCATTTTTTTTATTACTGTTATTTCATACTCCATATATGACAAATATGTGTTTGGACACACATACATATGCATTTTTTAAAGATGAAAAGATGTTTTAATGGCCTTTGAGAATCAGATCAAAACCCTCTAATAATGTTATCTTAAAACAAAGTATGTATCAAAATTTTAATACTGTATAAATTAAATTTAAAGCATCCAAAGTGATTATCAGTTATACCTTGAAACTGGAAGAAAAGTTGGGTAGGACAGGTTATAGGTGTGTATCATGTGAAGTTCCACTTCCCTTGTCCCATCACTAGATGTACTAGCTTTGGGGCTATTTCCCCCACTTCTCATTTTTATGAGGATAAAATATTCTTGAAGACCTACTGATATTTTCATGACTAGGAACTTTTTTTGTTTATAGTAAACCCAAAATTCAAAACTAGTCCACAAAGTAACAGCCATTTCAAGCCAGAAATTGCATTTTTTTTCCTCATTTATTCAAATTCACTGCAGGAAGTAAACACTAAAAGATTAAAAAAAAAACAAAACTCAACAAAAAATTCACACTGCAGTATGTACATTTTCATGACATCACATGAAGAAATTAATTCTAATAAAAAATAACAAATTATATGCCAAAAACATCACAATAAAATTGGCTGTGTAAACCCAAGAATTCATACCATTTGTGGTTATGTGCCCGTATTCCAGAATTTGCTAATAACCAGAGTGTTCCTGGTAGAATATTGTTTTCAATGGGATTAAAAAATTCATGAAAGTAGTTGTGTGAATTCTTTTATGTTGAAAGGTGGTTGGCTTGATTTTAAAAACTCTTAAGACTCTTCGATTCAAAGCACATTCTTTCACAAAGCTTAAACCACAGAAGTCATATCCAGAAATGGAATACTGTCAGGTTAGGATGAACATCTGATCTGACTTTTAAGACATTTTGCCAAATGCACAGATGCACAGGGTCCCCCATGCACTTTTCATGCAGCAGGTAATCACAACTTAAATAAAAAGTTTATTTTATACATTTGTCCAGACTTGCAACTGTATACATACATGCACAATTTTTAAACCTGTCTGATTATATTTACACTTATACATGGAATATACAGAAACCAAAGAGATTAAAAGGCTTTTCTGTTGCATTAGAACAATATAAAATATGTATTTTTTCATTAAGGAAATCACTATTTACATCACCTTTAAAAACCAATTTTAACATCTTCATGTAACAAGTCCATATATATATATATATATATACACAGAGAGATATTATATATATATGCACACACACATATATATAAAATATATACTCTACCAGTTTACTCTTCTGTAAGATGCAGCAGACAATAAACAGGTAATGCTACCTTACTGATGTCAATGAGAGCAGTAGTACCCTTTCACAAATGACTTAATGGGAAGAATTTGTCTACATATCTAAAATAGTCCTTGGAAATGTGTGTATGTGCATCTTTGTATTAATAGACACATAAACAAAATTAATTTGGGAATTATGTTCTTATAATTGCTCTTTTTGAAAATCAACCACAAGTCAAAGTTGAGGCATTCGCAAGTAAACCAGAACAGCATTCTTTGTAGTCATAATTTATACGTATAACATATTCTCATTCCTTTAACTATTAGCAGGAACAACAAAATAACCAACCAAACAAAAGAAAGCATCAACAGTTGCTCTGAGTTTCTTTTCTCCTGCCTACCTTTTACCTCTTTGTAGAAGTCCTAATCAGGGGAGGCTAAATTTTTCTCCCCAAACATGACTCTTAAGTCTCCAAACCTTTCAAATGGCGGGGGCGGGGATAACTTCCTTAGAAGTTTATTTATATAGTGTACACAACAAGACTGTTGTAAATATGGGATGGAGTACGATATATTCACTGGCCTGCAGAATTTTTATTTCAGAATAATTATATGCCTTCATCTCTCCAAGATATGGCGTAATATTCACTCCTATGATTTTAGAACACATCCAGTAGTTATTTACAAATTACTTTTGAGGAAAAAAAAAGAGATAACCATTTAAGACTTTACTCTTGGGAAATAATACCCATTTTAATATAAAAATCTTAGAAATGACTTCAAGGAGAACAATTTCAAAGATTTCTAATAGTTGATTTTATAATAATTTTTGCTTCATCAGTTGCTAAACTGTTCCACAATTTAAAATATATTTGATAAATTGTGAATTGCAAAAACAGAACTTTAAAAATGGCCTTGTTTTAAGATTAAAACACTGTGGTTCAATGATAATATTAAGTGCTTCTATGATAATGTCAATGTTTACTTTAATTAGGATTTTAATATAATAGATCTAGTGGAGTGACTGCATACAATTCTGTCATGTGTATGTGCCCTTGGATCTTTTGTGTTTAGTCACTCTAAGTGCAGTACCTTTCCTGGGTTTAAACTAAGTGTTTTTCTATTTGTTAGCTTTGTTTTGAGGACAATGATTTTAATAGAAGGATGCATTCAGGAGAAGTTTCCAAATCATCCTAGAATCACCTGAGTTTGATAAGTGGCCCTGGTATTCCATTCCCTAAGGCTAATTAAGTAGATGTTACTCACTAGGACGCATAAATAATCACAGATTTTCCTGAGATGTTGAGCCAGATACGAAAGTTGTCCCATCTGTCAAATTTTTTTACATAAAAAGTATTGTGAACTTGATTTCCAAAGACATAAATATATGAACTACAATACTGCAAATTTTGAGTTGATGTGTGACCATCTTGGGAAAAATATAAGCATTAGGGTTTTTTCCCTTATTATTTTCAGTTGTATTCTATGTTCTGAGAAAAGTCAATAAGCAAAGATTCTCAAACTTCAATCTGAAGAAGAAACACCTAGGGAACATGGCAATATCGAGGAGTTTCCCTTGTCTGCTCAGCAGAGATTCTCCTTCTTACATCTGAGATGTACTGCCTAAAAAAGTCACTGAATTTAAAACAAGTCCCCCAGATGATTCTAATGCAGGTGGTCTGAGTCTAGCTTTAAGAAACCCTGGTCATAAAACTTACAAGAACCACAAAAGTGGTGAGAACTAACTTTTACAAGACATAGTGACAAGTATCTAAGGAAAAGATATTTGCTTTTGATAAAAGCAATTTCATAAGTATTCAACTACTCAGGAAGCCACCTGAAAATGAATTTTAACTTCCTTAGTCCTGTAAAAGAAGGAGTATTAATTTAGTAAAATAGTTAAAATACAAAAATGGAAATCTGCCCTTCTTTTTTTTAAAGAAGCAATCATATCACCCTCAAATGTAATCAATTTTTACGAAGTAGTACAAGGTTCAAAGAAATATTGAAAAAGCCTGGGTTGGGGTGAAAACATTAGGAACCATAAAATTCCCTTCAAGAATTAGAAATACTCTTTTTATTTTTTTTTTTTAGCAAAAGTGAAAAATGTCTTTCCCCACTAATTTAGTACTCAACTGGATAATGAAATTGAATAAACACAAGGTTTCGAATTTAGTAATTATGACTTACTATAATTTACTGAACTTTAAAAAATGTGTTATGTGAGTTCCAAAAAAAACCAAAATTAAAGTACCCTAAGGAAAGGAATGGGATGAAAGGCATCAAAATACAGTGATTCATTATGGATGGAGATTTCCATTTTATTTCTATTACTCATGAATATAAAATAATTTCATTCATAGCCTACTCACAGTTGTTGTGTGATGCATACAGAAGTGTTAAACAACCAATTCCTAGTTCAGTAATTTCCTCATGACATCTAATTTAAAGCAAAAAGTAGTATGCCTATTTAAACATCACCAGCAACCAATACTTTTCAAAATAAAAAAAGTTTTCAATTATACCATGCTTTTCTCAAATCATGCTTGTATTTATACAGATCTCAAGTTCACACTAATTAGTTTTTAAAAGAACCAAAGCTAGATAGCAGGTACATTTTATTCCGATTCTTTTTTTATTGATAGCACATTTCCCAGAAGTCCATAAACTTCTCCATTTGCGCTGTGTGGGCGAGAAGCATTATTTCCCATATGGCTATTGTAAGGGCTTCTTAAATTAAAGAAAGAAGCTTTAGTTTCTGCAGCAGGAAGTAACTCTTCTTTGATCATAACCTGTGAGTTGTTCTCGGTACATGAAGGTCCTCTCCAAATGTCTTTGTCTGGTGTTTCTCTACTGGTAACAGAATTGCCTCCTTTCTGGAGCATGTAATACAGTATTGGGTTAGTTTTGGTCAGTCTTGGGGAATCTTTTTCATACTCATTCTTATCTACATCTGTGATAACCCATTTAATAGGTCCCTTTTCACTGGGCACGGAACAACCATTCAAAAGCCCAGATTCTGGTCTTGACCCTGCAAAGGCTAAATGCTCAGGGAAAGGAGGACTTGCTGGAGATTTTACAACTCCTGGGTATGAAAATGTCCTGTTGTCTAGGCAGCTGGTGGGCTGAGAGGAACTATACATCAGTCCATTTAAAGAGGAAATGGTGAATTCAGGTTTGCTACTCACCACGTTATTTTTGTGTCCTTTCTTCTTATTGTCAACAGCAGAGTTACTACTCCTGTGCTGGGACAAATCTCGCACACAGTTTTCGGAGAGAAGAAGTTGCTTCAGAACATTGAAGCTTTTGCTCTCTCTTGCCCAACTCCTATGCTCGCTTTCACTGGCAGAGCCATGACCTGCCGGATACTTAAAGTCAAGATCATTTCTGCTGAATTTCAGCTCTTGCTGATTCAGCAGGGACCCATACAGGACCTCTGGAGCACTGTTTGCAGCATCAACAGTGTTAGTTTTCGTCTTTTTAAATGGATTTTCCACAGGCTCAGTATAAAGCTTCCTCTTCTTAGGGACCATGCAAAGATTCTTTGATTCTGCCAGTGTCAGTTCACTATTTCTGTGACCCTTGTCCGGATCATCTGCCAGGTAACTCTCTTGATTTTGCCTCAACAATCGACTTAACAGACCATTCTTTGAGAAAGAAAAATCCTGAGGTGAAGCAGGCTCGGATTTCAAGTCTTCGGAAGCTGGTAAGGCAGCTGCACTTTTCTGCACTGTGGGACCCATGCCTAAGAAGGGGTCACTCTTTCCATTGTGGCTCAAGTGCACATTTGTATTATGACTATGTATGTCATCACAAGGCTCAGATTTTACTTTTACCATCAAAATCTGTTCACTTAAAGCTCTATCTGTATGTTCCTGAGTACTTTCATCTCTTAGAGGGATTTTCTCTTTCTTTTCAGTCTTCCCTTTGTTGGGATTCCCCAGAAGCAACTGGAGGACAGTGCGTCTTTCCAGTAGATTTTCTATCTCAGATCCACAGAGTCCTTGTTCAGAAGCTGCTGGCTGACTATTGAAGGCTTTATTTTCTTCAACTGCATTTGTTTTATTCGAAAGCAGAGGACTGTTTAATCTATCAATCACACCAATATGTTTATCTGTTTTTACTGGTAACAGCTGCTTACTGGGTTTCTGTTCTTCTGCCGACATGGAAGACTGCATCCCGCATTGTGCTAAATTCTGTAACAGCTTACTGGCACTGAAAGTTGCAGCGTTTTGTACACTTTCATTGTGGACTGATTTCTCTGCTTGAGATTCTTTGTTTTTTGTAAGGTCTATCAAGTGATTGGAGGCAGTATTCATTGGCTTTTCAGACTGAGTATTGCAGGCATATGGTGGAGAATTCCACTTGATAACCAGAGATTGCTGAGAAAGATTGATGGGGGACTCCGCTTTGGTGGATGGAAGTAATGGTGGAGTGCTCACTGGAGTACTAGTCCTATTTGTACTGGGGCTTTCTATTACAGAAGTCCTTGTATAAGTTTGAGAACTGAACTTTGTCACATCACTGTGGATTCCCTGAGGGCTGCCATTTTTTTCCATATTTTCTTCATTTTTATGACCAAGTAGTAACTGAAGAAGTGTTACTTTCTGGTGTGAACTAAGTTTAGAATTCTTTGAGGTATCATGATCTTCTTTGACTTCTACATCTGGGACTTTTGGATCCCAAGTGTTTAGCAAGGATTCAGTAAAGTTATCCAGAGACACGGGTTGGTCAGATTCTAGCTTTTCAACTCGATGCTTGCAAGACAGGTCTATGGGAACACAGTTAGAGTAAGAACTTTCATCACCACTGCTATCATCTGTAAAACTAGGATTGTTGTCAGAATATTCATCAATAGTGGTAGGTGTACTACTGTCCTCAAAAATGCTTCCTCTCTCACTGTGACTATGTCCATTCATTGGCTTAGGTATGGTCTGGCTCTTAAGAAGATGTAAAAGCAAGCTATTACTAGCAACTTGCTTTACACTGTTTCTCTCCAGTGAGTTCTTGTAGCCTGAATTTTTGGGGGAAGAAGGAACAATACCTGTTGGACTCTGAAATGTTGTAGAATTACTTTTGCTAGTGATTGGTTTACTTGATGATGTTCTTGCTTGGCCATTATGATGGCTTGACATTCCTTTTGAGAGTTGAAAACTGCCAGCATCCTTCTGACCATTTTCCTGTAATCTGGCCATAGCAGCAAGTCTTTCACTTGCCACCTGATTTGCATTTTGAGTTTTTAAAGCATGCTCCCGAGAATACTGTTGCAAATGGGCTTCACTTGATAGTAGTAATGCTAACTGGCTACAAGCAACACTAGGTTTGGGTGAGGTGGCTGGACTAGCCCTTTTCTCCACCATGCTTGCAACGGCCTGTAATCTTGCAGCACATGACAACGGTTCACTCATGACCTTTGTCCCACTCTGTCCAACATGGTGAGGTGACTCTACAAACCTATCTCTGATGAGGGTTTTAGTCACGACGTCAGGAAGATTGGTATCAGGCTTTTGATCTTTAGCTTTACTTTTCTTCAGCAAAGTTTTTAAATGACTTGATGCAACACCATAGCACCTTAAATCTTTCTCCACTTTTAAAGAATCATGACTGAGGGCATATCCTTGCTCCTTAAGGCTTTGCCTAATTTGTTGCGACAGGGCAACAGTCTGCAGCCTAGAGCTGAATGACTGAAGCAAAGAGGCCAGTAATGTGCTATCCTGTTTGCCTTTAGGCACACTGTCAACCATGTCAGCTAGCAAAGCTTCCTTCTTTACGTTTAAATTCACGATGGAATCAGACAGCCTCTTCCGCTTCGCTGCATTCCAGTCCTCGGAAGACTGCAACAGTCTGGCTTTTTTGAGATGCAGCATGCTGGATCCCTGATATGTATGTGTGTTGAGGACTGGACTATTACTCTGACAGGCAGGAAATACATTGCCAGAAATGTTAAAGTTCTGATCTTCTTCATCATGCCCAACAGACTTTTTGTCAACCGCAGTACCTGATCCCCCGACTGCCTGATGCATTAGTAATCCTTCTAGGTAAGTTAAAACAATAGAATCCTGGTGCACATCAGAGCCAAGCTCTTCTCCATGAGTCATGTTCAACAGACGTATTTACAAGGGCTTGGTTTCTATTCACTTTTAAGAATGGTTTTCTTGGGCTTAGATGTAACTTTAATAAGCGAGTGTCAGTTTATAACCTTCCATAGCAATTAGACAGAGATCTACTGTTACATTCTGATCAGGATTTCTTGACAATCATACGATAAAGGGAGGTAAACTCCAATGCAGAATGACCAAAAAGATGATCAATTCCTACTCCTAAGCAACGAGAAGCAGAATTCTTTAATAGAAGAGTCTGTAGCAGCAAGATGTAATTGTATAATCCTTAGTGAATAAACTGTTTTTTCATCTTCATTGTGAGATCTCCATTGTATAATTATCAGTGTCCTAAAAACAAAGCAAAGCAAAAATGGTTAAGTTGGTCTCAAACCAGCATCATTTCATGATACTTGTAAGAAAACTAGGTTATCATTAGCATATACACCATTACATACAAACATACATCTTTAATAATTTATTAAATTGGAAATCTTTAACAGAAATATTATGAGTTAAGTAATTTTGTTAAAATAATCAAATAATTTAAAGAAAAGAAAAAGAACTGAGTGTTCTCTACCACTATCTTCTAAAGCCTTCCAGATTTTTTTAGTTTTAATAAACACTTTTCCATAAATTTATGTGAATGCAAAGTCTCTTTTACAGTGATATTATGGGAATGTCAAAATTACCTTCATTTGTTTATATTATTGAGCAATTAGAATCAAGCAGATGATACAGACTTGTCCAGTGACTATGACAAGGTTGAGGTCTACAAAACAGATTCACATTACATATCATCCCTCAAACATCAGACATCCTAATTTCAAAACGAAACAATTTGTAGAATTTTTGTATTCACAGAAAAAACCTGAAGAAATTTAAGATTGTTTAGCTTTACAAAGAATAATGGTATCATTTTAGTTATATTCATAGGCATTATAATATAATCATAAGCTTACTCAACCATTGTTTTTACTATTGCTTTAAAGACATGCAAAGGCACTTAGATGCTTATTCAAGGCAGAATAAGATAGTGATGGGAGTGGAAACTCCCATTTATTCTTCCAACAATAAATCTACTGACCAATGGGGGGGGGGGGAAATCACACAGAAAAATGTCACAACTCCCAACAGCAATGAAACTGTTGGAGGATCAGTATGAGTTTAGAAGCAGAGTAGAGGAGTAACAGAGATAACACAGAAGCTGGGAAAAGCTGCCCGCTAACATCAGGAACACTCTAGTCATCACAGTCATGTTCACATGGGTCTGGGTAACATCACAAACAAGAAATACAAAAAAAAAAAGCACTAACCTGAATCAGCTGCAGCCTAATATTCTGAAAGCAGTACACAGAGGCCATGGGAGTTTTGGGGCTTTTCAATTGGAATAGAGAAACTCAAAGGAAGACTGTGATGCTGTAAGAGATTGCTGTTGAATCTGGCTAAAGCTCAAGACAGACAGGTACTAGAACAAGGGGGCTAGCATGAGAGAAGTACTTTACAGTGACAGAAGAGAGTGGAAATAGCCCAAGGTGGTACACCTGGGCAGGAGCTCCAAGGAAACATAGAAAACACCTCCCTCTGTCATAGGAAAGTTGAGTTACACCATTTCCTATCACTGTCTGTAAACAATTCTCTCTTCCATGCAAGCATACTGAATTCCAAAGATCTAGATCCCATAACTACTGAATGAACTCTTAAACAAAACAAAAAAAAAACACCCTAAACTCTGAAGATAAAAATGCCTTTTAGTAGTTCTCAGGAAGAGATACAATGCTTGCTGCCTCTGGGTCAATTCTGACTTAAAGTGAATCTGTACAGATGGCTGGAACTATTCCACAGGGTGATCAGAGCTGTTAGTTTTTGTGGAGGGAGACTAGGTACATCTTTGACCCATGAGCAGGATCTTACACCACCGGGGAGTCAAACTAGAACAAAGTGCAAATTCAAAGTGAGAACAAAAAAACTCCAATAAAATGGTTCAATGAAAGAAAGAAAAAAAAAAAAGTAAAACACACAAAATCAAGAGAAAAGAAAAGTCAGTCAAAACACAAATGAGAGGAAATTTCTCCTCTGGAGAAAAGAATGATGTTAGTTTTCAAACTATGATGCTAAATATGTTCTAAGAAAGGGGGGGAAAAAAAAAAAAGAAAAGCAAAACCAAAAAACACCACCACAGAAATTAGCAGTGGTAAGAAAACAAATGGTGGAGCAAAATGAGAGACTCAACGTGAGAACTTTAAAAAGTTGTATCTGTATCTCTACCAGATGCTCCACAGGAGAAAGACAGGCAATCTCCTCCAGTGTGACGTTAACGCCTCTGAATACCTGCTGGAGGGTCAGCTATATGTCAGTTACAACTCCACTGAATAAGACAGCAATAGCAAAGTAAAATGACTAAAACTACAGAATAAAAAAAAATGAATTAGAAAAAATAAAAACAATAAAAACTACTCAAGATTAGACTCAAACTGACAGAAGACAGAATAAACAGACGAGAAGAAACCACAACTGAACTTAAGTTTCAAGAATACAGGAAAAATAAAAGCAAACAACCCAAAAAAGAAATATGAGATTCAATCATGAAATATAACATCAGAAATATTTGAATCTCAGAGTACTTAACAACAAAAAAATACAGACACTATTTTCTAAAACACAATAAAAAAATGTTTCAGGATCTAAACATAAAATCAAACTTAAAAATACAGATGATGCCATGATCTCCAAACAAGACACACAAGATCATTTTTTGTGTTTTGTATACTATTACAACTTGTGAAAATCAAAGTTAAGAAGACAAACTTGGAAACAGTATAAGAAAAAAAAAAACACTACAAGCTACCAAGCGGCTTTCATAAGGCTTACCACACAGTAGTTTATGTCCAAGAAGCAACAGCAGCTAGAATGCAATGGAGTGACGTATATAAAATAATGAAAGAAGAAAACCACCAGCATTAATTCTTTACTTAGCAAAGCTGTCATTAAAAATGACGGAGAAATGAAGACATTCTCAAACACAAAGAAGCTCTGGCAATTTGTCATCACAGGAGCAGCTCTGCAATGACTATTTGTTAATCCTCCAAATGTACAAGCAAATAAATATCCATTTCTACACATAGGGGAAAAAGCTTCAAAATATGTGAAAGGGAAAGAGATGTAAAACAAAAAACAAACAAACAAAAACATCCCCCAAATCAACAACCTAACAACCTGGATAACTGCATAGTACTCAGTATACGATATTTTCAGGAGGTAAGCATAACAATTTTATAATAAACAAGAACAAAGTAAACTTATTAAATATAACTTGTGAATGGATATCATTGTAGATAAACCAATATAAAAGGGGTGCTCTTAAATGGCATTAAGTCAGAACCAACTCATAGTTGACTCTCTAGTGAGTTTTCAGAAGCTGAAATCTACTGTGGCAGGAGACTGCTCATCTTTCTCCCAGAGAGCAGCTGATGGATTGGTTTGGCAGCAAAAGTCCTTATCATTAATCAATCGGAGTTCCCTGTCAATGCAGATTGTTTTTGTTGCTATGTGTCATCCAGTAAGACCCGATCCATAGCTGCCCTTCAGTGGGTTTTCAAAGGCAGTTAATCACGTGGAAGGAGACTAACCATCTTTCTTCTGAAAAATAAAGTGAAGTAGCTGGTGGTTTCACACTGTGAATCTCTGGGATTGTGTAAATGGGGCAGGAAAGGGCATATCAGGAACAAAGAATAAAGAATGTGGCATCAAATTGCAGTAAGACTGATCAAAAACCTACCTTATGCAAATGACACAGCCTTGCTTACAGAAAGTGAAAAAGAGCTGAAGTATTTACTGAAAGGGGTAAAAAACTATGGCCTTCACTATAGACTACAGATCAAGAAAACAAAAATCCTCAAAACTGAACCTATAGGTAACATCATGCTAAAAAAGGACTGGAGAAAAGACTGAAGTTGTCAATTCATGTTACTTGTATCCAGGATCAATACCCACAGGAATAGCAGTAAAGAAAACAAAAAATGTGTTTCATTAGGTAAATGTGCCATCAAGGACTTATTTAAAATTGGTGAAAAACAAGGATGAGAGTTTAAAGATTTAAGTGAGTGTGGCTCAAGCCATGGTAAATTTAATTGTTTCATATGTCTCTTAAGGTTGGACAATTAATACAAAAAGATGTTAAGAATTTGTGCCTTGAAATGTGGTGATGGCTAGGAGTATAAAGTATCTCATAAACTGTCAAAGAAGCAAACAATACTGTCTTAGAGAAAGTGCAACCAGGGACTCTTTGGAGACAAAGATGGTGAAACTTCACCTCCTATACTACAAAATGTTGTCAGGAAGGGCCAGTACTTGGGGGGGAAAAGCATCATTCTGGGAAAAGTAAGAAGGCAGTGAAATAATGGAAGATCCTCAAAGGGATGGATTAAGATCATGATTGCAACAATGGCCTTGACTATGGTGAAAGAAGAGCACAGGATAAGGCAAGATTTCAATGTGTTGTTCACAGTGTTAACAAGAGAATACTGCATGGCTCAAAATCAACAAAGAAATGCATCAGGGATGTATCCTTTTCCCATATCTTTTCAAGCTCTAGGCAAAACAGGTCATTTGGGAGACTGAACTTTTATGAGAAGAATGTGACATTAGGACTGGCTCTTGGTTTTGTGTATATTTGCACACCCATGTTTACTGCTGCATTATTCACAACAGCAAAGAGATGGAAGCAATCCAAATGCCCATCAACAAATGGATAGAAAAACTATGGTACATTCACACAACAAAATATTACGCAGTACTGAAAAAGAACGAACTCATAAAATGTTACACAACATGGGTGAGCCTGGAAGACATTATGCTGAGTGAAGTATCTCAGTCACTAAAGGACAAATACTGCATAATATCACTGTTATAAAAAAGGACTGACGCGGGAGAAGAATAGAAAAAGTGTGGGTAGAAAATGAACACTGAATTGGAACAGTTGAGGGGAAGAACTCTCTGAAAGGAACATATGATTAGGCATTATATTTATAACAACAATCTGGAACAAGAGGTGTAAGTGGACTGAGGGAGGGGGGAGGAAAATGTGCAACAATGAATGAATGGAAAAAAAAAAAGAGCAGGAGATACAGCCAAAACAAAAAGCCCTATAAAAATGCAGCACAAATAAGAATGAAAAAGTTATATATAAGAACACAGACTGAGAAAGGATTGTTTTAGAGATTCCATAGGTATAACTTCTAAAACATATTTAACTTTGCTGCATATTACAATGGTGATTCAGTAGTAGAATTATGGTCTTCCATGTAGGAACCCTGGGTTTGATTCACAGTCAATGAACCTCATGTACAGTT